AATGTCCTTGTGAAATGGAACATACACTGTCCATCAGTTTCTCTGCCTCCAGTTCATCCTGCTTTTTTGGCTTTTAAGATGATTCAGATGTTTCATGGACTGCCTACTGGTTGACTTGAAAGGGGAACGCTAAATGTATTGCCTCTAACTTATTTCATTCATAAAAATACCATGCTAAGTATATTAAATTTAAAAGCACAATTCAGAGTGATTACAGTTTTATTGAGAACACTTTAATTATACTGATAATTTTATGAGCAAGCCAAGTTACAACACAATCTAGGTTGCTAAAGCGGACTTCCCCTACCTGGTAGTTGAAATCAAAAACAAATGGAGAATACCAGGCTGGGGAAGGCTTTGCTAAGGCAACAAAGTGACTTTAGATCTGTATATATATATTTTTTTAAAGGGTCTTGTTCCCCCACCCCCCCTCTCCGGCCACTATTTTCCTCCAAATTTCCCTTTTTGGGGGGAGGTGACAATATGGAGACAGTGAGGACTGAATCAGAGTGGTACCTCCTGTTCAAGAAATCTGGTAAAGCCGCATCCTCTAACCTAGAAGGTCCCAGAATAGCTGTATTATACTCCTCTCCCTCTGAATTCGCTCCTGAGCCAGATGGGTGATTGAGGCTAGAGAACATGGCATCTATGTGTACTTAGACCCTTTCTATCTGTGTGTACTTAACACTTTTCTGAACTTCTCTTGGCTTGAAACTTCTAAGAAGTAGTTATATTTTGCATGACACTTTCTCTGTGGTTGCCTTGATATCGCATGCACTTTTATAGATAATGTTTTGTTTCATGGATGTGTATACAGCCAGGACCCTGAGGGTGTGGAATGGGCTTCCACGAGAGGTCGTTGAGGCCCCATCGGTGCGGGTGTTCAAGGATAGGCTGGATGTCCACATGGTGAGCATGTTGTGAGCGGAGCCGGCTGGTGCCGGAGGTCAGACTAGATGGCCTGGGAGGCCCCTTCTGACTCGCTCTGTTTTCTATGTTTCTATGTTTCTATTTCTTGCATCCAAGTTAATATAGGGCTTCCTTATTCTTTAGTATTCTATCCCTCCATGTTTTTTCCGTGAAAACCTAGCTTTGCTAGATTTAGGCTTCCTGGATCTTCTGCCTGCATCTGCTACATCAATAAAAATATTTGCATTCTTGCCTCTGTGATAACATCAGTTTGTGCAATCTTGATTGCCTTTTGTAGAACCAGATCAATGTCTTCCAGAAGTCATGTTTGCAGTTTGTAGTCTCCCACATTTTCTGATCTCTAATTAGTCAGGGTCTCAAAGCTGCAAGACTGGCTCATCAATTTATACCTTGCTTCATTTCTCTCATGTTGTTCTCAGGGTGTAGCAGAACATACATCATTTGGAAGTTTCATTGCTCTTGGGTATGTGATATTCCTGTTTGGTTTAGAACAGGAGTCCTCAAACTTTTTGAATAGGGGGCCAGTTGAAAGGCTGCGGTGACCATCGCAGGCCGGTGAGGTGGGGGGCACAGGCCAGTGAGGTGCCGTTGAGCGCGTGCGTACGGGAGGCAGGTGGCGGCGGCTTGCTCACTCGGACACCATCTCCAAACCAGCAAGCCGCCACCTCCTCACCCACGCAGCGGGCAGGGGATGGCGGTGCGGGCCGGATATAAGGCCATGGTGCGCTGGATCCAGCCTGCAGGCCGTAGCTTGAGGACCCATGGGTTAGAACATGGGTCCTCAAACTGCGGCCCGCAGGCTGGATCCAGCCCACCATGTCCATTTATCCAGTCCACCTCAGATGTTTTGGACTCATGCGGAGAAAATGTTATCAGAGTAAGCAAGCTGCTGCCTCACCACCGCCTCACTGCTTGTGCACCCGCGATCACGCCAGTCTCCCCCCCAGCATGCCTGCAGTTGTGCCTGACCCCCCCCCCGACTGTGCCCGCAACCACCGCCGCCTTTCAACTGGCCCCCTGTTGAAAAAGTTTAAGGACACCTGGTTTAGAACTACTGAAAAGCTAGAGTGTTCATTGTAATGCAGTTGCACAGCTTGGTGGAAGGTCTCCCAGTATTCCCTGCTAGACACAGAAAAATGCCTGTCTTTTGTGGATTTTTTTCATCTATTCCTTCAGCTTGCATGTAAATGACAGTCTTGCTTAAATCTTCCAGGGTTTTGCCACATGAGCTTAGCTGCCATGGGGCTTTGAGCATTCTGCCCTTTTTCTTTAGTTTTATGCCCCTTGTTTTAATTTTTTCAAAATTTCACTCTTAGTACAAATTGTTCTCCATCTGAATTTAGGAGGTATCAGAGGAGAGTTAATGAGTTATTTTATTAAAACATATCTTCCCTTTCCAGTGCTCTTTTTAGAACCCAGGGCCTAGATCTAACCTAATGAGCTAGGGGAGGTGTCTGTAAAGGTTGCAGTGCTACAGTCCTATCCATATTCAGCCAAGAGTCTTGAAACTTCCAGCATTCCCCAGCCAGCATAGGACAAAAAAGAAATAAGGGGATGTATGTGGGGAATATACTAAGCTATGTGTACATATGGAGAGTTGTCTTTTCCTGAGTGATCTGCTGTATTTGTAGTTTTCTGCCACATAGTCACTTGGTTTTTACAGTGTTTTGCCTCACTCTGAGTGGCTCGCTTTGCATAGGGTTTTTGGTTTCTCTGCCATTAATTTTCTGAATGTCCTTTGGCTTGTAATGCCTTGGACTCAGTGCTTCCTGTTTGTAAAATGGTATTTTCTATCTCTTCTAAATGCTTAATTCCAAATCAAGATGCAGAACAAGAGAGGGAGAGAGCACAAGAGATGTGGCTTTTTATGGAAGCTTGGGCTTACCTGCTTCAGTGGTACTTTCATTTCCTGCTTTGTGCTTGTAACATCATTGTAAGTCTGGACCATGGAGTCTGGACATTAAACATTAATGTTTGTCATCTTAGCAGTCTGTTTGTGTTACTTGGTGGCAGAAGACTTGTGAGCAGTTAGAGATTTATGTACCAGAATTTGATTTTTCAACAGCAGCCCATATATCCGTATAGTTACCCATTTGTAGATTGCTATAAAGAGCACCCATTCAAAAATTTAAATTTTATGCATAATTATTTTAAGTAAGAGCAGCATGGTCTATTTTAATTTTCAGGGATTGTATATCAAATTATAGTGTTTTGGATCTTTCTAAATCTTATCTAAAAATTGTAATGTTCAGTTTACTTTATCATTTTTTTCTTTCTGTTGTGGTCTGGATTCATTTTTGTAACACACAATAAAAATAGTTTTTTGGAAGTTTGCAGGTTCACATATACTCAGATTTAAGTATCTACCCTATCACAGGGACAAAAACTGGTTTAGGCTGCTGTGAGCTGTGCTCTCCTGTTCTGTAAAATGGTGTTTCTATTAGGCTTCGATATGGCATTATTACTGGGACATGATAAGCAATAAAGGGAAAAGTGGCTGCTTTGAAAATGCAATTGCAAGGCATTGAGAAGCAGTGGTGTAGTAGTCAAGAGGGACTTAAGGTGATCTGGGTTCTGCTCTGCCATGGAACCAGCTTGGATGACTTTGGACTAGTCACAGCCTCTCACACTAACCTACCTCACAGGGTTGTTGTTGTGAGAATAAAACTGAAAGCAGGAAGACAAAGATATAAGTCCCTTTGAGTTCTTTAAAAAAGAAATTGAATAAATGAATGAATTTGAATCACAGCTGCTGTAGAGTGATAGAGGAGCTGGCTTGTCCAATTTGAACATGAAGAACTGAAGAGTAAGGAAGAGTAAATTTTATAACTTGGCCTCACATTTCAGGGGACTGGACTAGTACTGCTCATTTTTTATTTCTACATGTATAATGAAAAGGTAACAAACAAATCACTAATATTCTCATCTTCCAAAGGAAACTGATGTGTAAACACAAAACAGTGCAGAAGAAAGTCTGTTACATCCTCTCTGCTTGCTAAATAAACCCTAAGGTGAATTTGATTTTTGATGTAGCCACTGACACATTTAAATTTTTCAGCAAAAATGTTTATCCTACATTGTGAAAAGATGACTGTATGGTCTCTCTCATCACTTGTATGAATTGTGTTATATAACTTGGTGTGTGGTTAAGCAGTATATGGTTTAAATGAACATGCTGCAAAAGGCTGGCACTGCCTTCCCTCTGGAAATTGTCACAGTAATCCTCTGATCAATTATAGTAATTTTCTGGATTAAGAGCTGAAGCGCAGCAGTGCAACATATTTTCTATAGGAGAAACTCGCACGTTTCGTGTCCAGGCTCCCCAGAGCCCATTTGCTTCTCTGTTTATTCATCCCATACCTCACCAGTGAGAAAATGAGAGACAGACCCTGCCATCAGGCTTACAAGTGTGGCCGGCCAGTATAGACAGCTGTTTTATACCGAGGCTGACAGTCCATCTTTGCCAGTGCTGTTTACCCTTGATGGGCAGCAGCTCTCCAGGGCTTCCTGAGATGCTTTGATACAGGGAGATGCCAAGGACTGAACCTGGACGTTTTACCTACAAAGCATGAACACTTATTGAACTATGATTTTTCTCCTAAAAACACACCAATGATACATTTTTGGACATCTAAGTGACTCTGGGGAGCCATGAGAAATAGGCCTTAGAATCTATCCTGTACCAGGGTGTTGTCTTTTACATATTTTGTGATGCACATCATACTGTGATCACCAGCTTTGTTATGTATAGAATTAAAAGTACAACTTGCTGTTTCCTTTGAACAAAAAGTCAGGCTAATTCACGGAGAAAAAAATACAACAACATTGTTTTTCCTTTGAAGATGATGCTTGTGAGTAATGGTAAAGCTGCAATACTTCCATGGAAATTCTTCCAGTACCCTGGATTGGTTTTTTATTGGGAAGGCTTGTCAAATTTATTTAAAAGCTACAGATCGATTGTTTAAAAATGTTGAGTAAGTTAAATTTCTTAGAAGAATACAAGTAAGAGCTGCACTGAAGTAAATATCTGTTTAATTTACAAACATCAGTAAAGGTACTGATATCAGTCCAAATAAGACAAAGCAACACTGTATTACACATGTACATCTAAATTTTCTTTTTTTAAAAAAATTGAAAAACCCCTTTTTATAGGGTACCCCGAGATTTACTGAAAAAAGAACACAACCCACTATGAATAATTACCAATCCTATGTTGTGATTTAGCAGCAACATGTTAACAAAGGGAAACATTAGGGCAAGTAAAACAGTTTTAATATTTGGGAAAAGTCACAGTTCTTGGCAGTACAGCCCCTCTCTGTTTAATTTTAAAGGCAAGGAACTCCAAGGGAATATTAGTTTGTTAAGGTCTACTTTCTAGTGTCATTTTCTACATACCATTTCATTTTCCGTAAAGTAATGCATATTTAGGGAAATGATCATTTCTATACACTTGCCACCTACTGCAAAGACATTTTTTTCCTCCTACATTACAAGGACTTGAGAGATGCACAGTACTTTGCTACCATGAAAACTACAAACTGTTGTTGCATACAGCATCCTGTTCCATCAGTAACACTGGATGAAAGGTTGCTAAGGAAAACAAATTTACCTGGACCAAATCTATTTACCCCATGAGAACATGCTATGTTAGTCCTATTGCAAATATCCTGATTTTAAGTCTTTTTTAAAAAACAACAACAACAGGAAATACAAAAATATCAGGACAAATATAAATTAATATATATTAAAGCATTGAAAAACAGTAAAAGGGGGTGGCCTACATGTTAAGTACAGTGTACTTTGATACAATAAATATTTCTCAATAAACTGAATACTGTATAGAGCTGTTCAGAACTCATAGAAACAAAACTCCATATTATAACTAATTTTCCCAACAATAATCTATTTTTATCATCCCCTTAACATTTATCTTACAAAAAAATTAATACTGGAAGAGGGTAGATAAACACTTGATTCTTCTTTTGTTTTTGCTAACATGCCAACATAAAAGAATTTATCAGGAGATTTTAAGGGTATGGTGCATCCTCTTCTGTTAGTGAGCCCTCATTTCCCAACTTGATCATGTATGACATACAAAATGGATCACAGATTTGTTAAATGTGCTGAAATGGATTCTTTTCACCTGACACTCTTCCTTCCACCCCTACAAGAGTCTGATATGGTCTTGTCAAGACAATAAACCCAAACCCAAATTTATTGTTAAAGTAGTAAAAAAAAGTCTTAGTCTGATCGGTTTCTTATTAATAAGCTGGAGTATTTAAAGTCACTTTGAGCAGGGTGCCTGCTTGTCCTCAGCATGTTATAAAGAAAGCTTGATGTTAAATGCAGTTATGTTTCCCATCACTGTTGAAATGTTACCAGGTCTTTATTTTTCCTTCCAACTCCTCTGGGTTACAAGAAGTCTCAGTTCAAGCACTTGATTGATGTTGTTGTTGCAGTTGAAGAAAAAAAAGTCTTTATTCTCATAATAAAAATAAGTCTGTTCTGTATTTTACAATATATTTCAAATATTTCCACTATGAAGCATTAATTAGTCCAAGACATGGTCAATAAGTATACAACATTTTTTTAAAAAAACAACAAGTGGGGCAAATAGGACACATTTAGGAGGGGCACTTTGTACAGCCGCACTTTACCATCTTCTCCACCTCGTCCACAAATGAGGAACCATCAGTGCATTCAAAAGAGTATTTCCGCCTCTTGCTCCTCAATGGCCCGCAGCACTGCCCACTTGAGCACCCTCCTCTGCATTCTAGTCTCGATACCTTCTTGGTCGTCTGGCACGCGGCATAACCTTGCTGCTTTTGGAAGTAATCTCTGATTCGTTCCCCTCGACAAGAGATTTCTGTAACATGAAGAAAGAACATCCAGCAAATGACATACCATGTAACAGGATAAAATACTTCTAAATATAGTTTCTGTTTTACATTTCTTTTAACTTAGAAAAATAATGGTTTTGGTATACAGGATTAACTCTAGATTGCAATTTCAGAGTGGCTTATTTTCAGCGAAGATTTATATCTAAATCATAAATACACTATTATTACAATGACAAGAAAATTGGAAATTCAAATCTTTTTCTTTATTACAAAAATACACATCATCTGTTCTTAACAGGATGGCCAGCTGTTTTCCTTTACTGTTGGGAAGTGCTTGAGACAGCATGCATTTTCATTTATTAGACCTTGAGTTAAATATTATTCAATCTGTTATTTAATAGAAGCTACATTCCACTAACTTCATAAATTACTGAGGCATAAAATCAGTTTAAACAGGAGACATCTGGTTTAAAAACTCAACCCCCATATTCTATTCTAGTCACATTGATGCAAAGTACAAAATAAATAAATGTCAGCTCAAGAAAAAAAGAGATGGGGTGGGGGAAGAAAAGACAGCAGAAGTGAAAGAGCACTGATAGACAAGGAGAGAAAAGAACAAGTCATCCTCTTTTCATCCATCTCACCTGTATACTTCGCTGTGATAAATCAGTTGAAGATGAGAGGTCAAAAGTAGAGTTTGTGATAAAACTAGGAGCAGAATCATTGGATTTGGCTTCGCAGTTGCAGAAGGTAGAGAAACAATAAATACAGAAAGATATAGCAGGTAAAAGGTGGCAGTTTAAATATAGTAAAAGCTGCTTCTGAATAAAGAAAAAGTTTTCACAGCAAAATCTTTGGGGAAAAAAATCTTGAATGTTAAATTCAAGAACCATTTAAAAAAGGATTTTTTAAACAATTAAATGTTATTTTTTAAAGTCATTGAGATAAACTCTGTATAGTTTCAAGGGGATAATGGAGGGGAAAGAAATTTAAAAGCTTGCAAAGAAAAATGTACTGTGTGTGTGCAAAACTGAATTTTTTAATATGTTTTGACATTTCCCCCCTTACATTAAATGATGATAACCCGATTGTTTATTTACCTTTATCGCAGCTGTCCCCAGTGTATCCGCTGCTGCATTCGCAATACGGTTTCCCAAGGCCTGAAAGCCTGCATTTACCATGTTTACATCTGATGGACTGGCAGGGGTTAAACAGTTCTTCATCTTCATCACAGAGGACTCCCCCATGTCCCTGCAGGCATTTACAACTGTATGAAAATGCATTGATTGGCAAGCAGGTACCATGCACACATCTACAGGGGGAGACAAGCCCAAGAGAATAAAAATAAATTATTCATCCAACCTAAGGCTAAGCAACATTAACTATAAATGCTTTTGGACGGCACTCAAAAAGGAAATTGCTTTTAGGGTTTTTTCCTTTTCTTTTTAGATTGCACTTTTTCAGGAAGACCCATTGAAGCAGTTTGTATTGGACTAATTGGTATGCAAGGTTAGTGCAAGGATAAAGAAGCACATAGGCCATTATTCTATTAGTGCTGGAATATTGCCACTGTAGATGTGTTATGGAAGACCTGAGCAGGCTGTCACAACTACCAAATTCTGCATTCCTCATGCTTTGGGGTTTGTGTGTGCATGAGGCACTGTGGGAGCAAGGAATGCAAAATCTGGCTGAAAATTACTTGGATTGAAACAGTTGTTAAAATTCAACAAGGAAAAAAGCGACACATCTTACCTGTAATTTTGACCTTACCCCTCCCCCCACAAGACCTGTTAACCAGGGGGAAAAAGGTTGTCAGCAGAAAATTGCAATTCATTCATAGCCTTCTAGTTGCATGGGCAAGGAGGATTGCCCCAGGAAACCCAATTGTTTCTGACATTTATGACATGGTCTCTTGTCTGTCCATCTCTTGCTTTGATAAATCTTTTTCAACTATGTTTCACAGTAAAGAAGGGCTTTGAATTGAAGTGATTCTGCTATGGACTCAAGGCAATGCAGAAATTCTAGTGACTACATTCTAATGAGAAGGACGGGTATCCCCTGAGGAAAACTGTTTCAAACTTTGACAAAGAGAAGGTAAGGTTTAAATTCAAGATCATACTTTACAAACAGCAGTATTATGGGTGGGGTGGGGTGGGGTGATTTAAAAGGTCCTACATATTACTTCAGTTGCAAGGTGCTATTCACATCTCTACACACCCACCCTTTCATTCCATGTGTTACAACTATTTCAACATAAAAAACCAAAATATCAGCTTGCCAACCCTGACCAAAACAGAAACCTCTGTGTGCGGTTTCACTCATTTATTTATTTGGAGAACTTATATGCTGCCCCATTTGCATAAGCCTCGGAGCAGCTTCCACACATAAATATTTATAAATGATAGAATTACATAAAATATTGGAGACATTCTGGTGAAAAATTATTAAAATCAATAAATAAAATTAACAATTAAAATGACGTTTAAATAAAAAGGTCTTGGCCTGGGGCCGAAAAGCAAGTAACGACAGCACCAGGTGGACCTCTCTGGGGAGTGCATTCCATAAGTTGGGCGCCAACTCAGAGAAAGCCCTCCTCCGGGTAATCGCCCTCCTAATAACTTTCATTGAGGGTTCCCGGAGAACGGCCTCTGCCACTGATCTCAAGGGGTGGGAGGGCATATATGGACGTAAGCGCTCCTTTAGGTAATCAAGTCCCAAGCCGTTAAGGGCTTTATAGGTAATAACCAGCATCTTGAATTGGGCCCGGACTTCAGTGGGGAGCCAGTGAAGCTGACGGAGGACTGGAGTTATGTGAGCACAACGACCAGTCCCCATCAGCAACCTGGCAGCTCTATTTTGCACCATCTGAAGTATCCGGACCGTCTTCAAGGGCAGCCCTGCATAGAGCGCGTTACAGAAGTCTAATCAGGAAGTAACCAATGCATGTGTCACTGTCGCCAGGCAATCGTTCTCCAGGTAGGGACGCAGCTGATAGATCAGCCGAAGCTGAAGGAAAGTGCTCCTCGCCACCGCTGTCACCTGAGCTTCCAGTGAAAGCTCTGGGTCGAGGAGCACTCCCAAGCTGCAGACCCTGTCCTTAAGAGGGAGTGCAACCCCATTCAGGACAAGGTCGAGGTCTCCCACCCCGAAGCCCGACCCACCTACCAACAGGACCTCCGTCTTGTCTGGATTGAGCTTCAGTTTATTGGCCCTCATCCAGCCCATTACCTCGGCCAGGCACCGGTTCAGTACAGCCACTGCCTCACCTGGATTGGTTGAGAACGAGAGGTAGAGCTGGGTATCATTTAAATTATAGTATTACCATAGACATAGGAATACAGTGAATTTGCTTCTGCTGCCCTGATGCCAAAGATGCTTGGAAGGTAGCAGTATTAACTTTGTAGAAAAAAGCATATAGAAATAATCTAATGAGCATGCAAGCATGTACATGGCCAGCCAGCCATTGCCTGAATATACTTCTTTTAAAAAGGTAATGAAAGACGTTGCAGAAGCTAGCATCAGCTCAGGGAGTTCCCAGCATGCCTATGTCTGGCGTCCCTGTGCTGACACCAGGCCTTTTTACCACTGGCTCCATCAGCAGCTGTTCTCTGGGTGCTCAACTGGCAGCCCCAAGGGCCGCAGAGCCTTCCACTTTAGCCTTGAGTTCCAGCCTGAACTCAGCTAGTGATCTCAGGCTGCTCTTTCCTTCACTGTGCAAGAGAAATAGATCTGATAGAAACAACTCAAACAAACACTTTTCTATGTTGACTGATGGTTTTTTCAATGGACACTTTCAAAAGTTAATATTCCTCCCCAGCTAGTTAAAAAGGATGTAATTATAACACTTAAAAAACCCCTGAGCCATCACATTGATTCCACTGTGGTGTTCTATATTTATATAGTTAAAAATGCATTTAGAAATGTTTAGGGAGAAGAAAGGCCCACTATCCCCACCAGGCAGTCCTTTTCTCTGTCAAAACTTTTAAGTTACTAATTTTCCAACAATCCAATTCATCACCATAGAAATGAATAGGAGAGTGACTCTGACAAACACCTAAGGCATCTGGGCTCCTTTCAATCCACAGCACCTTCTCAAACTAGGGCATAGCACAGGGATGGCCAGACACGTCCAATGGAAGAGCCCTGTATGGTAAATGTCAGACGTTTGAGAGCCACAAGTGGGCGCCTGCAGGTGGTGGCAGCCGGCAGTAAGCAGATGCCCTTGGGCAGAGGCAGCAAGCAGGCACCCATGGGTGGCAGTGGTGGGCAGCAAGCAGCAAGCCAGTGCCCCGAGTAGCCAGCTGCAAAATAAACTCAAAAGAGCCACATGTGGCTCCTGAGCCTTGGTATGGCCAGTCCAGTCCAGAATAGAACTTAACATTTTCCCAATGCAATAAATTTCATTTTTTGTGGTGCTGACACTCCAAAAGCTTAGGGATAGATGTTTTTGGTTTTATGTATTTTTTCTTTATATTCTTGTGTGTGCAAAGAAACAACACACATTTTAAATTCAGGTACAATTCATCCCAAGAATAAATGTTATTGTAGGGGGTTAATTCTGCTCCAGGGTAGCTTTAACTTCATACAGGTGTTAACATTATTAACTTGCAACACTGATTTTTTATTTGTAATGTTCTGTCCAACAACAACCACCACCTCATTAATCTATTGGGGTAATGGACCACTTCCATTATTTATTATGAGCCTAGCATTTTACTGTATGGATTTTTCAGTTTGGTTTGGTTTGTCTTCTGTTCTGATTCCAGTACAGAAGTTCACGTATGCATTTACAATAATTCAGTAGTGGAGTTGGAAAGGGCCAGTGCAGTCATCAGGTCCAACCTCCTGCTCAATGCAGGGTGCCAGGTTAAAACGCCTCCAGAGATGGCTGTCCAGCTGCATCTTGAATGCCTCCAGCGTGAGAGAGCCCATGACCCCTCTAGATCATTGGTTCTATAGCTATATTCAGTTGGAATCTGGCTTCCTGTAATCTGAGCCCATTCCGGGTCCAGCACTCTCAGATAATTCAGGAGAGATCCTGCCCAACCCTTTGCAACAACTTCCAAGTACTTAAAAGAAACTATCATATCTTCCCTCAGTTTTCTTTTCTTGTGGCTAAACATGTCCAGTTCTTTCAGTCTCTCCTCATGGGGATTTGCTTCCAATTCCTCAATAATTTTCTGTCCCAGGGCTTCTTGATACCCACCCCAACTAAGAAATATAACAGTGCCTCCTATGGCCCTAACCTTGATCCAAACCCTAAACAACTTTGAGGAGCCATAAAATATTTTGGAATCTTAGCATCAAGGTTGGAGACCGTGCTCTGACCTTGGAGCTGAGAATCAGAGCTCTGCTTCCTTACAGCCACTGTGGAGAGAATGTGTCAGCCACTTCTCCAAGGTCAGGAATGTGACCTTGGAGAGCTGAAAGGGGGCATTTCAGTGAGCAGGGAGGGTAGAAGATCAGATGAATTGCCCTGAGCCTGTCGGCCTCCTTCCCTTCCCCTGCAAAATAACTTCTCTAGATGGGCAAAAGAGCCTGTCTAATAAAAAAGGCAGGGCATAAGGATCAGAGGTGTGGATTGCCTTCACCAGTCCCTGCATTGGACTCTCATATGTCCTGATGTTTTAGAGGTCAACTTGCCCAGCAGCTTTTGAGTTTGACTCAATTTTTGGAATGTGACATGAATTGATTTTCTTAAATGTTAAACTGGAGTTGTTTTGAAATCAATCATTTTTAGCTAGGACTTGAAAGGGGTCCATTGGCCAATTATGCCATATGCATGCTGTAAGAAGAAATGCTGTGGGAGTTAAAACCTGAGATACTGCTGATATGCATATGTGAGACACTGGAAAATACTATTTAACAAGGACTTACTTGTTTCCTAGACAAGGATCGTTGGTTTGCTGGTCACAAAGTGAGCCAGTCCATCCTCCATCACACTCGCAAGTAAAGCCTGACTGGCTGGTCACATGGCAGATTCCGTGGACACACACCTTCTTATGGCAGGGTTCACAGCCCGGGAGAATTCCAACTTGAAGTGGGACATTCCTAAAGTCCTGGAGTTCACTATTGATATACAAATGACGAATACAGCCATGAAAGCTGGTGCCATTGCGACCCGGGGACTGGCGCAGTGCAGCAACATTGTTCTTCATAGGCATGCCTACAAAACAAGCCAGGCCATTTCATAATTTAAAATGAATAAGCCTGAGTTAATCTTAATTGCTATGAGTAAGTCACATTTACACACTACCTTCTATAAAGGTATCAAAGCAGTGAAAATAATCAAAATAACAGTAAGGTTCCACGACAGAGCACTAAATAAACCATGTTAAGCAGTAGGAAACTTGTGCATTCTACTGTGTTTTACAGCCCTTAATTGGTTGGGTCACAGGCAAGGGGACCCCTGCGTGAAGAGGCTCTTAAGAAGGCATCCCACCATCAGATGTGGGCACCTACCATTCCAGGGGACGGTGCTGCCACGTGGAATGCTTTGCTGCACGTGTTTCTGGGATTACCTTCAGAAGTGTGGGGCACTTCCACAAGTTCTCTCAGATGATGGCAGAGTTTGGGCAGGGGCCTAAGGGGTGAGCTGATCTGGGTGACCTTGTGTCAAGTCATCTGGGGCTTTATGCATTAACAGCAACTTCTTACACTCGGCACAGTAACTTATTAGAAGTCAGCCCAATGCTTTGAGGAAAGGGTGAAAAATGGGTGCAAGTTAGCATCCAGCTACAGCTTTTGGATCAACGCCAAGAGTAACCTCACATACAGTATATTACAATTACCTGTTTCTTGAGATCACCAATGCCTGAATCACCACAGGTTAGCTGAAGATCACTGTTGGCTACTTAAAATAACCATAGTGGTTAGGGTGCTGGAGTGAGACTTGGAAGTTCTGGGTTCTAGTCCCCACTTGGCCCTGAAACTAACTGGGTGACTTTGGACTGGTCAATGACACTCTCCCTGACTTACTTCATAGGGTTGTTGAACTGGAGAAAGACTATGTAAGCTGTCTTGAGTTACTGCAGGAAAGGCAGCCAGGATATAGATGTAATAAAATAGTAATAAAGAAAAGTGTGATTAACTGTGGAATGTTTCACAATTAGCACTGTTTTTAAACAGAGAGATACCATAAGGATCTTCTAGATAAATCTAAGCAGTATTAAAGAACATGTCCAATGGACTCAATTTCTTCAACTTTACAAAGCCAAAGTCATTAAAAGTACCTTTAGACAATGCACCCCTGTAAAGCTACTAATATTGGTCTTACTTTCAGCTGGAATATTAGATGAAATATATGAACTTTTGCCTTTACCCAAGTCTTAATCATACTCATATCAAGAGTAGAAATAACATGTTTTCTTACCTCCTACATAGAGTGGGGAGTCAAAATTCAAAGTGGATTGTTTAGATAAGTTGGTGATGAGCTTGGGACTTCCTCCATCAATAGATAAAGAAAGAATCTGATCCATGGTCAGTAACTCAACTATGTGGAAGTTTCCATCATTGATTGTCTCAACACTACAAAAAGGAATAAAAGGTACTGAACTCCTTAAATGCTCAGATTTGTGCATGCATGCACTTCCTAAACACTAAGTGTGGGTCTGGATTTCTCCAGGCATTTACAATTCAGAAAATGAAGGAATAAGCCAAGCCAATTTTTAGTGTGTGTGGAGCTTTGTCAACTCTCTTCAGCTTGTTTCCAAACTGTAAACTGTCTTCAGATGTGTGCTACATTTTTCCCCATTTAGGCCATGAACCCTTCTTACTGCCAAGACTGCAGTTCTGGACACTGCATTTAATCATACTGAGGGCCTACCTCAAGTTGATTGTTTGGCCAGGTCAAACATCCAACACTTCCCTGTTAGGCCCTGCCCTGTCTCTCCACTTGAAACAGAGAGAATGCAAGTACCCACAGAAAGGAGTAATGAATAAGAGTCCCACTTGTTTTTGGAAGATGATCAGATGCTTCCCTCCTGGGATGGGGGTGGGGTTAAATTTCACTGGGACTGTAACATTGGAGATCCTGAACTTGTTTTCTCCCTTCCCTGAGAAATGTTTTTTTTTTTTTAAATATAAAAACTAAACATCTTAATTTCAATCATACAGCGATGGCCAAATTTAGTTTGGCACAGCAGAGATCTGAGAGCCTATCTTAACATTCCTTTGACCAGCCCAGGGTGGCTTGCATCCTTAGTCCAAGTATAAGTAACTTCCTTTGAGATGAAGGCCAGATAAGCTATTGGCCAGGAGCTATATGTACTCCTTCATCACACATGCATGTGTATGCCCTGAACATATGCATGCATACTTACCTTCTTACATCATACATGCTACTCCCAAAACCTAATGCAGTTTGTGTGTGTGTGGGGGGGTGGAGGCTTTAACTTGTGTGTGTCCCATCTGTGTGTTGCCCATCCTTGATTTAGTCCTTCTAATCACACATTTGTAATGACCTTTTCTACTGTTCCCAGTTATTCCAAATTTTCAAATTATGGGGAACACATGAAAGTCCTATGGATGTAGGAGTGTCTGTTCTCTACAGACAGAAAAGTTCCATGTTTGCACAGCAAACCTAATGTTTGTGTGGAGAATTCCTCTATTTGTGGAACAGAATGGAAAAGCCTCTGTAAAAGTGGACTGCCATGCTCACAGCAGAGCTACTGAGTGATAAGTGACTTTTGCATTTCGGCAGCAACCATTCCTGAGCTCACCAGCACTTTAAGACGTGTTGTCCGCCTAAGAATTGTTCACATCAAAAGAACCCTGCACACAGGTCCCACTTGCATATATCCACAGGGGCTTTGCCAGTTTCCTTTACCAACTGCAGACCTCTATGCTTGCCAGAGGCTGCCATTTTGGCAGTATAGAAGCTGCAGAAGGGGCCTAGTGGTCACATGGAAGTTTTCCAGTCGTTCCTTTGGATCCCAGACTTTTTGAAACAATGAGAATATAATTGAAGGAAGTTTACATTCAATTTTCAAAGTTGACTAGGAGAAGAAAAAGAGTCAAATAGGTGGCTGCAGTGAATTAAGGAAGCAAGAATACATAAAGATAGAAATAACGCAGAACTTTGGTTGTTCATTGTTTCCCAGAAAACAGCTGGCCAAGGCAGACAAAAATATAAACCCAAGAGCAGTAATCCCAGAGTCATTCCAGTTTCTCATATACAAGATCTAGTTTCAACTATTTCTAGGTTTGTAAAGGAAAAAACACGCACACACACCAACCTTTAATTCCCTTTTGTGCTTTAACATTTATGTCAATTCTTTTGTATACCATAATTCTGTTTTTGTTTTAAATGTGATTAAATGCATGCATGTGGAAAATAATATAGCAGTTACACAAATTATGGTACTTTTTATAACTCTAAACAAAGCATCATAAAGAGGAACAGATATTTTAAAATACCTTCTTAAAAGAATATTAAAAATCTGCATTTATTTTATAGAAAATGCTGAATTTTACGGGGATATTTTTTCTGTGGAATGTATACAACTCTACTAACATCTGGGTCTTTAGATATTATTGCCTAGCAAAGTACTGCATTATTTCACACAGAATGATTTTAGTCTTTTCATTCCATTTTGCCATTTGAAGTAACTTATTCGAAAACGTTTCTTCCAATAAGCAGATGGCACCTTCTAAAGTATCCATTATAGTAGCTGCAGTGCTCATCTCTAAGTCAAATGGATGATGGTGGACAGTGGTTCTAGCTCTGTCCCTCCCACCACAAGCCCGGGGCATGAGCAGGAATAACACGAGTCTTTTATGATCTTCAGGAACTGGGAGAATGACTGCAGGATGCGAATGAGTATGGGGGATACCTCATATTTTCCTCATGCTACTGCTCATGGTATACTCTTTCCTTCTCTGCAAGATGGAAGTTCCTTACTTGTGTGCTCCCATCTCTCTCCTAGTTCATATCATTTCAATTGCCCATAAGCTCAGTAGGCTGGAGAATGTCTTACTTCTTGCATGATCTATTCATCTGCCATTGCCACAGTGTGAGCAAGGACAATCCCAACCAAACTAGCTTGTGAACAAGACTTTGCTCAATGTAAATATAAATAAATGCAAACAAAATACAGACTTTCAATTTATTCATCTATTCATTCTCACATTCTATCAATAGATGGTGTCTTTCTCACAAATATGTATGCACTGAAACCATTATTTAAACTGGGTAAGGAAACAAAGGTGATTCAGAAGGGTTTCCTCAAAACCATAAGATATGAGCACACTACTTAATTCTAGATTCAATTTCAGTATTTAGTGGCTTCTAGACACTCAAGCAGCATTTTCTGTTTTTGATCTTAGTAATTTGGGTGCGAAATAGGAACAGTTCCAAGCTATACTTCCAGGCCTTTCACTGATGTTTATACTATTATTTCAACTTCATGCTCCTGTTGTCCTCCAGAATTTTTTGTCCTTTAAGGCCCAACTCATTTCAAACTAAGTGTGAAACAGCAACCTTGGTGAGACATTTGGAGTCTGGGTTTGTGGGGCCTTGGAAACCCCTACAAGAGGGGTGGGCAACTCATGGCCCTTCGGATACTTTAACCTACAACTCCCATGACTCTTCGCCATTGGCTATAGTGGCCAATAGTGACCAAACATACTCCACAATATCCGACTATCAAAGCTAGTGTTGCCTGGCCAGTACAGAGTGCTCCTGGCTGTCCAAAGCCTTTGATAGTGAGGGAATATGGAGGTATGAAACCCCCACGCTGCCTTGAGGAAAAAAAAAGCTCGGCACTTGCCAGGGATTGTAGAGGTTTAGATGCTAAAAAGAGTCTGGCCACAAAAAGCTATGAAGGCCAGTGGGCAGGGAGTGGGGCAGGAGACCAGGCAAATAGAGGACGTAAGACTGGCAGGCAGGGGTAGGAGGGAGACAAAGGGGCAGTGGTGGTGGCTGCAGTGGGGTTGCAGGAGTTTCTACCAGCACTGAAGGCAATCATCCTCTACACTCTCAAGGGCCCCCAGCAAGCTAGGCTTGCTGTGTGGTGCTGAGCTGCTTACCTTTTGATCTTAGTTCAAGGTGGAGAAGAATTCAGGCCCATGTAAAGCTTACCTCTCTGTTGACTTGGGCTTTTAGAATTCTCTCAAGTTGATTTTTAAAATTTATTACATTTCTTTCCCATCCAACAGTTATGGAATGGTATAGAAATTAAATAAATAATAATATCCTTTGCTCAAGGCAGTAATCATATGGTGCTTCCCCGCCTTTTGTGCAGTTCTTCACCATTCTAAGAGGCTCAAATTCTTTTCCCAAGGCTTAGCTACTGGAAGCAAGAGATTTAAACTCCAACATGCTGGCGTTTTTGGTGTTTTGGTCTCACTCATTACTGGAATGTGGCTCCTGACAGCTGCTCTAATAGTGAATCTAGTCCATGGACTGAAAGGGGCTACCCACCCTGGTTCATAATGTCTCCCATTATGGACAGTTTTCAGTGGAAAGCACAGTTTAAAGAACTAATGTATCCTTGTTAAATACATAATTTGCCAGTAACTATTTGGCTTCAGGAGCTGGGCATACCTAGGTACCACAAGTAACAGACTCTCTTAAAATTGTAGCTGACCATTTACAGACTCACCTGTAAATGGCAGATGTGGGATAGGATCCTGAATTATAGCTGACCCTTACTCGTCCACGATAAAGTTCCATGGCTATGTGATCTCTGTCACCTTTATATAGCAGGATTCCACTGTCTTCATCTGTTGCAATCTTGTCACAAACCATTTTGTTGTTCAAAGAGAATGAAATTAAATGAAGACGTTTAATTTCAAATCAAGCTATTTACTACAGCCAGCCAACTACCTTTTTCCTCTTGTTAAAAAAGTTATTGCTCAGGTCATAACCATTCTTCTCACTATATGAGTAGTTGTTATATGAACTTCAGTTTTATATGGCAATTTCTCTAAAATTTTATATGGTGAACATGTGCAGTGCTCTGGATTCCTTGACCCATACTTCTTAAGGATTGTTTGTGTTAAACAATATTGAACATATGCCCTAAATCAGGAATAAGCATTGTTTTCAACGGTAGTTCCCATAATCCCAGACCACTGGCCATTTTGGCAGTTCTGCAGAAGTTGTGTTATAGTCTTAAGAATTAGGAGGGTACTAACTTTGTCCTAATGATGGCAGAACCATGATCAGGCTAATTTAAAGAAAATAAAAACCTTTTCATTGGGGTACATGAATGACTGGCCTATTATAAAGCACTGAAATAAGCTACCTTACCTGGAGAGTGATATTGGTCTGTGGACGAATCTTTGGGGAAGGAATTTGCAAATAGGATTCTTTGTTCACAAAATTTATGCTGACCAGCTTTTCACATTTATCACCTTGATAACCTGACAAGCACTGACAAATTGGCTCATTGGCTTTAATGATGCACTGGGCTCCATTTTGACACTCATAGTTATCGCATGGGCTGGTGCGGGGCAAGACCATTGGTGGAGAAAACTCACAGAAAAGTCCACTAGATGGAAATGGAGACAAAATCAAGTCAAACAAGTCCCCCATGCCATAACAAATAACTTGTCATACTCTTCCAAACCGCTCTCACCTGTACCCCTCAGGACATATGCATGTGTAACCATTCACCGTATCAGTACACTGTGCTCCATTTTTACACTTGTTGTCTTGGCAGTCATCATAGTCAATATCACAGTGTTCTCCTACATAGCCAGGTGTGCAGTTGCATCTGTAGAGTGGAAACATGCAGGGTAAATGCAATTTCTGTCTACCCAGCAGGAGGCTTAAAAGAAAAGATGACTCTGGTGCCATTTCAAATGACTACAAAATCTAGCCACAAAATGGTTAGAAAAAAATTACCTTGAGATTTCAAGGAATGTTATACTGCACTTCAAATAAAACATTTCAGAGCTTATTGTTGAAAGCTAGTGCTGTTGATTGAAGAGCTGGCTTTGCATGAGAGACCACAATTTAGGCTTTGTCTTGTTTGCTGCTATGTCTGATTATGCGATATTTTATCAAATATTCAAATAGTACATCTTGAGGGCTCCCATGAATCATTCTGACACTTCTTGCAACTGGAGTACACACATACTTTTTCAAAATTAGCAAATATATGAGCCTTAGTAGGAGAAATCTAGACAAATATTCCAGGATTTTTGCTTTGGGGTTATATATTTTGACTTGAAAACAATGACTGAACCCACAGCACGTTTCATCTTAAATAAATAAGAATGATCAGAAGCATTTTTCAACTAACAAAGATGAAAAATGAGACAATGCATTTAGCTCTCTTACCTATGAAAATTTAAGTCTACATTTCTTTAGTGTAAATGCCAAGATCATTTTATCAAGGGTGACAGATCCCTGGAAAAAGTTTAGGGGGAAATACAACTGAAAAATGGTACTTTCTCCTCTTAGAAGCCTAACAATGAGGCCAGTCTGGACAAGAGACCGCTAAGGTTGTGTTACATAGGCATTTCAGACATGCTGTCTCTCTGACATGTACGTACTGTATGATGGGGATTTAATTGGTGTTAACCTAACACCTTGAAACCTTGCATCAAAGATCCATTTTTTCCAGAAGGCACAACCTGAAAGCTATCAAAAAATGCTGCCCAGTCTCTACCACAGAGGCACATGGGCAACAGTGATTAAAGAAGACTGCTGTGGGCAGCCTGGTAAAATATGCAAATACCTACCTGATTGCCATACTACAATCCAATGAACTATCTATGCGGGTTCTTTGAACTGGCCAGTGAAAAGCCCTGATGGGAAGAACCATGCAATGCTGAAACTTTCTTTGCAGTGGCTAGAACCACTTGGTTATCCCTTTGCTTAAACCTAGCCTGGATACAGCCTCTGAGGCACTGAGCTCTTTGCTTACAACCTTCCTGAGGTCCGGGCAGTGATTGTCCATTGATTTCGTTCAGGCATCCCTCACACTGGTGTGCTTCTGCTCTGAGATAAACTAGGGTCTGCCTGACTGTAATCTCATTCCTTGTTAAGCTTTCTTAGCACAGTGATTTGCTCTGTCCCACATTTCCAGGGCTAGAGCCTTGGTCAGCCACTGTGGTTTCTCTCTTCAGCTGCACACCAGGGCAGGAGATGAACAATACAGTCACAGAGTGGGGTAGCTGGAAGAATGTTCCCATGGAAGGGCACCCTGCATTCCCCAATAGTTCCTGCAGTCCTATCTTTGGAGGGAGGGAGGAGCCTGCTAGAAGGAGAATTTTCCACCACAGAATCAAGCACCAGAGTACTAGCTCAGCATGCTGCTTTGGTTTCCTAGGTACAGCTGACCTGGGAGGGCAGTGCAATGCCTCCTAATGGGCAAGGTTAAAAATGCTTTCTGTGAGGCTATAGTGCTTTGCCAGTAACATTCACACACTGCTAAAATAAGAAAGTCTGCTGTACAAGAAACATTTCTCAGTTACTGGTGAGTCTGACAGACATATGTGAAACTCATGGCTTGGCTCAGCATTGCTATGGCACAGGTATAAAACTCACAAAGGTGTCAATTAAGGTGCGACCCATGAATAAAAAATGCAATATGGACTACTGTGCTTTCTGTAGAACTTGCTTATCCAATTCCTTCCTACTTTTATTAGCAGCACCACAATACCCATCTTCCCGTCTTTCAAGAAATTTCTCTTTATACACATGCAGCAAAAATTGGCCAACTAACACCAACACAATGGGTGGTGGTTTGCCTGTAGTTGACAATACTTCTTGTTTTTACAGTCCTAGGCTGGCAGCACAAATAGGCGGTTTCCTAAGCCCTGCATGGCTTTACATAAGAGGTGTGTCCAGAAAGTAATGAGAATATTTTTAAAATTCTTTTATTGAAAAAAAATTACAATTGAACATTGTCTCCTTCAAAGTATCCACTTTGTGAGTGTACACAACACTCCCAGCAACTTTTCCATTCTTCATAGTATCCTTGGAAGTCTTCAGGTGGGATGGCGTTCAGAGCCTGCATAGTGGCTCTTTGGAAATTATCTACACTACCAAACTGGCTAGTTTCAAACCATTCTTCATCTTTGGGAGTATGAAAAACTCACAAGGAGCCAAGTCAGGACTGTAGAGTGGATGGGGAAGAGTTGTGATGTGTTTTTCAGCCAAAAACTCTCTGACAGCCAAAGCCCTGTGACTCGGTGCATTGTTGTTATGAAGGATCCAAGTTGAGCTGATCTCAGGACACACATGAAAAACTCTTAGTCTCATGCAACCAAGAACTTTCAGGTAAAATCTTTGATTCACAGTTTGACCAGTAGGTACAAATTCCTTATGGACAATTTCATAAGGAAGTTTTAAAAAAATGACCATTGATTTGACTTTTGATTTGCTCATTCAAGTTTTCTTGGGACAAGGTGATGAAGGTGTGTGCTATTCTGAACTTTATTTCTTCATCTCAGGATCATACTCACTCAGGATTCATCTCCCATAATCACTCAACTCAAAGAACAGGCGCTCTTTCTGAACGGGTCAACAGGTCTTGGCAAATGAGTTGATGGTGTTCCTTCTGATCTTTGGAACGAGTTTTGCACACACTTTTCTCATGTTCAAATCCTGAGTTACAATTTCATGAACAATTGACTTGGTAATTCCCATTTCCTCTGCAATCATTTTGATAGTGAGAATGAGCATGGTTGAGAACAGACCTCACTGCATCCACATTCTGTTCCTTTTTTGATGAAGAGGGGTGTCCTGATCGTTGTTCGTCTTCAACACCTTTAAGGCCTTGTGCCATCAGTAGACTTTTCTCACCATTTCCAAAGTTTCTGATAAACTTTTACCCAATTTCACACAAAATTTCATTGCGTACCACTGTTCCAAACTCACTTGCATAATTCTTAATATGAGGCACTTGAAGAGGGTGTCACAAAAGGGAAAGTCTCAGCTCTGACAGGGCTGCAGTGCAACTGATCAGTGTTCTAACTTGTACCTGGCACTCCACCCCAAGTGACCTGGGCCAGCTTCTCCCTTCACAGAGCCCTTCCTGAGCATAGGGACTTCATTCTCATAACTTTCTGGACACAGCTCATATATGACTGGTGGTGGGTTTTATCTGGCTCGCTGTGAAGGCCCATTGTATTGATTTAGCACCCCCACCCCCACTTCTGATTTCCTCTTCTAGTTCTGTCTACCTTGAATGGCTTGAAGCAAAGAAACAAATCATGAAAAAAATAAAGAAGGAACGAAGTTTATCAAAAGACTAGTTCTACAGGATGGATGGATATTCACAAACATGCATGAATTTACCAATGAATTAAAAGATAATCTAGTATTTAAGCGTGCTTAGAATCACAGCTTACAAGTGGCCTAATGTCATTTTGGCACAACAAAACCAAGTACACAAAACAGGTGCAATACAGAGCAGCAGGTTTCCCAAATCATCTCATCTAAAGTCCATTAAAAACTACTTTTCAAATCTGCATACTAATTAATGATAATAAGGATGTCAATTTAATTAAAGATTAGCTTTCCTGGTGATGAACCTCTTTATTGTATAATGGTTTTCAGTGTGTCTTGCTAATAACTCATCTTGTAATTGCACTTCATAATCCAGCTTTAATTTAATGCAATTATTCACTTCCTAGTCCAAGGAACTGAAAGGATTTTGTGTGGATTGTTGCACAGGATAAAAACTCTCCATCCTTCATTGTCTGTACTTAATCCACACTGCTAGGAAACTGGTCACTGAACAGAGAATCTTCATGTTATTACATGGTGTTCCATGCAACCCAAAGGAAAAAATATATTGAGCCATTATTCTGTGATCACAACTCTGGTGAATGAGGACTGACAGCACAATTCATTCCAATGAAAACAAAGTCTGCAGCCATTCAGGAGAACAAAGCAGTGATTAAAAACACAAAGTTCTGTAAGGATACAGGACTTACTTGTATCCTTTGGGCGTCAGGATGCACTTTGAGTCATGCTGACAGGGGTTCAGGTCCTGAGCACAGAAATCCAGCTTCTCTTCACACAGCTCACCTGTTAAGAAAGTATATCGGGTCAGCATAACCAAGACCACCATCAGACCTGAAAAGCCATTTATTTCTATAGCAACTCTTAGTACAGCCAAACTTCTATAGTGAGCTAAAACACTGGGGAAATGATAATCTCTCCCTTATCCCTCCCAGCATAATCTCGCTTCTCAAGACTTTTCTTCAGCAGCATCTCTGTATACACAAAATCGCTATTTAATGTGTTTGCTTATATACTTGTGCTCTAGGCTATCAATAAAAATCAAGCTTGCAAAATTCAGACAGGAAGGCAAAACTGCTCCAAATAGCAAGCTGCTATTTGAATGTTCCCCATAGTGTCGCTTGCCAGTAGAAGTGTCATCCTGCTAGCTCTCTCATCAACCCATTAAAATCTTATACTGCAATACACTAGAGTTTTTAAGACTGTTTAGTGAGGTTAACACTGTATCTTGACTAAAGAGAGCTGTGCTTTTCCTCCCATCCACAATAATTTAAAACATGTCACGTCTTAACTCTGGGAGCAGCTCTGGACAGGGGCAGCTGAACTGTGCTCTGCTTGGCCTCCACAGTGCCAGACCAAACAAGCCCACTCTGCATTGGGAGTGGGGGGGGGGTGCTCCTGACAGCTGCCCCCAAGTGTCACTTCTTACTACCATATTGCATTTCTGTCCCACCTTTTCTCCTCTTGTGAGGAACCCAAGGTGGCTCTAAGGGTTTCCTCCTCTCCAGTTTATCCTCAAAGCAACAACCCTGTGAGGTAGGCTAGATGGAGAGTAAGTAATCGGCCTAAAGTCACCCCAGTGAGTTTCTCCCAGGTCCCCAGTCTCACCACCACCCCACACACACAATAAGGCACTTTGGAGCTGCTGTCATTAGCACTTGCTAGCGCTGCTAGATAAGAACAGCAAGCATTCTGGCTACTCTTGCAAGTTGTTCTGGAGCAGATGATTTATCTCTGGACTTGTTTCATTTATTTTGGTTGACACAGTCCAAGGGTGGTTTAGAACTTCTACAACAAGCCCACGGTTGCTGGAATGACTTATAGACCATCCTGTGAGAAGCACTCGTGGTTCGGACAAACATTAAGCCAGTGCTGCATCATGTGACCCCAGCCATAGTATCTCCACCCAGGGTTCTCCCGATTCTTTCCCCTTTCCAATAGAACAGGCACTACTCGACTGGCTTATGTGGAAAAAAGTAAGGAAGGGATGCATGCTTGCCTCGATTGTGTTCCCTTTCATTCAGCCTTCCTGCAGTCAGCATTCCTTGGCCCTTCCCCTTTGCACTGACCTCCCACCTTCTGTCCTTACCAAACACTCTGAGGCTCCCCAGTTGCCACATACAGCAACAACGGCCACCAACTCAGATATGATTAATCCTTTTAATCAGAGACTTCAGCACAAGCTGTTAGTTGTCTAGAATGGATGTCAATTATACAACAGACAGCGTTTTTCAATTACGGTGCCTTCCAGATGTTTTGGACAACAACTCCCAGAATTCCTAGCTGTTGACCATAACAACTTGAGGGTATCAAGTGGATGAAATCTGCTATAAGGTAAGAAGGCAGGATGAATGAGTCTGGATCCGAGAACTGTGCAAAGCATTCTCTGTGCACAAAGATGGTCTTAGCCAGCTGTTCTTGAACAGCAGTCTCCGTGTTTCAGGACACACCTCTTTTGAAACAGAATAGTTTCATAAGCAGGTTGCAATATGCCATGAAGTTCTGCAGTTCAAAGGGACAATGTTTTTTAAAAATCTACTGAGCACACACACAACCCTTCAGAGCATTCACTGACCAGGGTTCTTAGATACTGATATAAATTGCATTAAACAGTATGATACACACAGACACACACACACACACAGGGACAAGTAGGTCAGTGAAGCAAAAGCAAACCATGTGAACAGTGGATTTACTGATCTGTTACAGTTGTCATTACACTCAACCAAGTTTTAACAATTTGCTGAAGGTAATCAGAAACATGAATAAATGCTAATTAAGGGTAGCCAAAGGATCACAAAGTATTTTCTTTTATGGACTCATTGAGCCTTATTTATTTATTTGCCGGTGCTATTAGTGTTCGGATGAGTGAAATGGCTACATGATAATATCCAGACTGTTCTAAATCTGCCAATAGGATTATAGCCTTCAGATGACTGAATGTTGGAGGCCTCAGTTCCAGAAATAAAACAACATAACAAACAGATACAGCCTGAAAGAATCTACATGCACTAAGAATTCTTTTTTAGGGTGAAATGTGAATACAGTTAACCCAAAATAGAAAAAAAGAGAGCTATTTTTAGTGAATGACATTTCATCTAATCAAAGTATGTTTTATAATGAAATTTAGGATTGTTCAGACTGGTTTTAAGAGGCACTTTGGTAAAATATGCTTTGAGCTTGGCATTATCACAAACTGTAATAATATCCTATCCTATCTATCTTTCATCTGTCTGAAGATACCATCTGGAAATATGGAGTTGGATGTTATTGATACAGGGATCATATGCTGATTTATATTAAGTGTTCACATTTTCCTGGGCTAAGTGAACAATCTGGGTATATAGATTATGATGAACAGATAGAGCTAATTTTTGCAAGTAATCTCAATCATTTTGTGGGAATTGGCATGCCTCTTCCAGGGAGAGGTTAATCTCCTCATTAGAACAATCTTACTATTGGATTCAGTTCAGCACCTGGAATTTCTCCTGGATGCTACTTTGCTTCTAGAAAGGCAAATATCAGCAGGGATGCTCTTTATCACCTCTGCTTGTTGCACAAGGCTCTTCCTGAGTTTACCCACACTCTTAACCCAAGAATCAATTACTATAATGCAGTTAGAAGGGAGATACATACAAGTCCAGAAGCTACCTCTGGTGCAAGATGCTGTAAGTTATCCCTGATGTATATCGAGAGGAGAGGACACAGCCAAGTGGTTTTGTCTCAGTTGCACTGGCTGTTGGTGTTTTTCTGGGACCAATGCAAGGTGCTTGTGCTGACACTCTTCCTAGCATGAGATTGCTCTTCCCTACTGAATCTCCAGGCCAGCTGATATCCTCTGCCCTTGCCCTATTTATTCTCATTATATGAGATTAAATAACTGAACTGTAGGAGTATAGTCCTGTTCCAGCTGAGGCCCCTCTGTGCCTCTCCCTTAGAGGTTAGAGAAATAATATTTTTGGATGGCTTCCTGGATGCTGATTGGGTTACAGCCTGTACTGAGATGACTCCTGAACTTCTGTGGCCTGCTATACAGTGCTTAATTGTGGTTTTACAATGTTTTTTGATATATTAATAAAAACTAGCTTGACCTGGGAAAAACAATGCATAAATGGTCATGCAGTTAATTAAAGATGGACAGCAATTAGATAGTATTGTTCTGACATATGCTAATATTTTAAATGCAACAATATATACAATATTTGAAATAATATTTTGCATTTATAGCACTTTCACGTGTAAGAAGTTTCTCAAGGTCTATTTTCAGTCATTCTTACAACACCTCTGTAACATAGAGATTATCTTCACAATTCAGTTCAAATCAAGTTATGCAGATTAGCTGTATGGCCTAAAAATCCATCTCCACAATCAAGATGGGGTGCTAAGAATGAGACATTGGAGTATAGCGGATTTTTTTAGCCAGGGACTTCCCTGCTCATATACTGTTCAAGGACAATCCTACACTTGATTAGACAGAAAAAAGTCCAACGATTCCCAGGCCAACCATGCTGCATAAGCATTGTACCCTTAGCCACTACGCTAGGTCTTGCAAGGAAGTGTTATTCCTGGCTGGTTATATAGCTGAACGATCTATTCACCCATTACTTAGGAAAGAGGCTATACATTAGAGGCTGCAAACAGCACTTTAGATACACTACTGAAAAGTGTTGGTGGTTCATTAAATAGAACAAAACACAGTTAAATACATGCATCGTTTCCTTTTTACTATTTAAAACATCTTTTTTAAAAATGCTGTAGCATGAAGAACCTCAAAATCAAGCATTTTAATTGCTTTAGCTGTCATAACAACATATTTCAATATATCTGTTCAACAGATCATGCATTCATCTGATAATTTTTAAACAGTTTGAACTAGAATTTAAAGACCCACGTATGGAAATTTAACAATACATTACTGAAATTATTGCAATTATTTTGGATGAGCGCCTAAATGTCATATTTTGATGTCTGAAGAGCTGAAACCCACATACCTATAAGGAAACTGAAGAAACAGAGGAAAGAGAAACCAAGGTAATGAAATAGGCTTAAAAGGCAACTGACCTTTTTCCACTTCATTCAGATTAGCAGCTTGCAGTGACAAAGACAGAAGAGACAAAGAGACTTTTACATTGTACTGAAACAGCATAGCACATATAAATTAATGCACAATTAACAGCATCAGAAAAACTAAGTTGATGTAGCAAGAATGAAGCAAGCTTTTCATTTTTTTAATCTACAGCACAACAAAACAAACACAAGAAGTATGCACTACTGCAGGTATAGGAAGAGCTAAGTTCAACTAAAGATATTCGTGATCTTAATGGCAGGTGATAATGAACAGCAAGAAAAATGGCCAAGTAATCTACAAAATGTACACTTAATGATCCTGCCATTACAGGTGAGGATTACAAATGTGAACACTGTAAGAAAGCCAGACAGAGCTTCAAGTATACAGGAAATTATGTTAGGGAAACTTGGAAATGTTCACTTTCACAGGTTTCACTTCTTCTTACATATTTTACATGGGTTCATGATTAAGGCCTACAAAAAGTCACCAAATAATGCCACGCTATTTTTTGTGCTATTTTTCACAGTACTGACACAGGATACTGGCTCATGGAAACAAAACTAGGCTGTCCTTTTCAATCCAACACCAGCTGGTAGTTAAATGATGTTAAAAAATTACAGTACAGTAGAGACACACAACTCATTTTAATTTAATGTTTTAAGCGGAAATCACCAGAGCTTTGTACATTCTCCTCTAGAGGGCACTGGTGCTGTCTACAAACAAAAAGAATGCCAAATCTGTCCAGCTAGGATTGCAACACGAGATATTTTTAAAACATTTATTTAATGCACTTGCATCCCACACCCACATACGGCTTCCAGTGGCCATCCATCCAAGTTTAACATTGGCTCAGCTAAAGCAACACCACTGCATTAGGTTCATCCAGATTTGTTTATGTGACCCTCACTACCTACATACTATTAATCTCTCATTATGTTTTCTCCTGCAGAACAGTAACAGTTTTCATTATACAGGATTAAAAACACCAGTTAATTCTGAACATAGGCACAAACCTAGTTTTAGAACAGAAAGGGCAGCCTTTACAAGGAAGCTGATGTAAGAAAGAGAGTGGCCAACATCCAGCTCATCCTTCTTTCCATCAGATCCAGATGAAACAGTAACTGGTCTGAATGCCTGTTCTGAAACAGGGATGAAGGTGAGTAACATTAAGGTTAACCAGTTAAGGCAGAACTGATGATAGTGGGACGACTCAGTGGGCTGCTAGTTGGGGAAATGCCAGCTCTGGATGGGATCACACACTTCCACAAAAGGACCAAACTTGTCATTTGAGGATAGCAATGGATTGAGTGTTGCTTCTGCAGGTTGAGATCCGCAGCTATGACCCAGCTTTGGCTGAAATGCCCTCTGTACCAACTACTGGAAGACAGACACTTGGCCACTATTATTCATGTGTTTATTCTGGCACTGCCCTAGGATTATGCAATTTGTTGTATTTTTGCTGAATGTTCTCAATATTTCCAAAATCTTTAATTTTAACAGAAATGCATCACAAAGCATTTTAAAATGAATAAAATGCATCTTTTAAAAAATCAGATCCCTGTCTTTGAAATGAAAGAACAAATCACATTATTAAACAAAACAATCAAAACAACATGACTGAAAGATAATTTCAGGGGGAAGGCAAGGGGAATGCGAGTAAAGTAAGGAAAGTGTTCTCATCTTCAGGATCTTTTGACCAAACGAGACCTCAAAATTTGCAGTGATGGTGAGAAGGAGTGTAGTACAATGCTGCACTACAGATATGCCCCTTTTGCATGCTGACTACTGAATTCGCCCCACCCCTCCCTTGCCTGCCTTCTTCCCGCCACAATGGTTTTCCAGATGTATAGAGCTCCTCTAAAAATACAGGCCAGGAAAACAAAACATAATCCTGTTTTAAATCAACATGACTAGCAAAACTTGAGTGTACCGGTTCAATACAAAATTAATCAGATTATCCACGTCTCTGAATGTTTTAAGGTTACAGGTAAAAAAAAGTAGGATGACAAAAAACCCTCTCTGTTGTAGATCCAGCTTGAGTAACAACTTGTCTGAATTGCCAGCTGCCACATTATTGTGTGAACTAATCTTTAAGCTACTTTTGCCGAAGTACTTTCAATGGCTTCAGAATGAAATAGTTTAAAGATTACAACCAATTGCCAGTTTTCAATTAAAGCATCCATCAACACACAAAGTTTGACTCTTACTAAAACATGAAGCAATCTGATAAGAATAAATCAACGGAGGGAAACAATAACGCCTGACTGATTTATTTGTAGTGAAATCTGCATATAATTTCATTTTCTTTTAGCAATATTTATCACCAGCATATGAAAGCTAACTTCATTACATCTGAATCAGGTTCTAGATGCTGTGATCCGTATGGATTTAATTTATCTGCCATTCAGATAAAATATCAGAAAATGCCAACAGTGCATAAAAGGGTGGTGTCAGTGGTAGGCAGAGATGGACCCACTCTCGACAGCCTCCTGGGAATTACTCATCCTCTTCATCACTGCAATTTGTTTTTTCACCTGCATCTTTCAGACATGGACAGCAGTGGGAAGAACAAGCAGCAGATGCTACTGCCCACCTGCTCACTGGATCCCTCAAAACCCAATCACACAACATAGTACATTTTTTAACCCATCCAGAACAGTAATTTTTACATTATGTTTTTTAAAAAAATTCTAATTAGGAAAGTAGCTCAAGGCTAATTAGCTTGCTAATTGATTTTCAGAAGAGTTCCTTTTCCTACGCAGCCATGGTAAGTTGGCATAATATGACTGATACCCATCTGCGTTAATTCAAGAAAAATGGTTTAGTCCAGGTTGTACTATGAATTTGATGTGTACGTACAGTTTATTACGGGATATGTGCTTGCGGGGGGGGGGGGACTCTTTTTAGAATGCTAAAACAGACTGAGGGTTGTGCAAGAGTTGTTTGGTTCACCACCCTGACAAACCATAGGACTCTCCAACCAAGGGCTGAATATTCATAGTGGTGGGTGAAATATGCCACAGTATGCTGAAGGTTAATTAACCCATCCTGGGCTATCACTTCATTTGAGCCAGGTAACTTTCTTTAGAAATACAACCCCACTACCACCCATCCTCATAACATCTTGAGTTTACACACCTTGGTCAGAATTTGCCAGGATTGTATAAGAAGGGTTTATTTCCACTTTTACTAAAGCATCATGCCCCCTCCTATTAACTGTAAATAATAAACACGTGGTACAACTTTTGAAAAGGGGTTTGTAATTTGGTGTTGGAGAATTGCATGAGTGTAAAAATGAAAAGTAAAACTGTAGCACTCATAACGGGCAAAAAAAAAAAAAAAATCTGAATAGTGATCAATACCAGGAAGTAAATCCTCAGTTACACTGTGTTTGATGAAAGATTAGTGAAAACAGGGCTCTTCCTAGTTCTGTGCTCTACTTTTGCAAGATGTCCATTTTCTTATCAAGCAATACCTTAAGAACATGAGATACTGCAGATAAATAAATAAATAAAACTAACAGGTATTGTAAAGGTGTGTTTTACTAATTAAACTAGGAGAAAAGGTTGTCAAAGATATCAATGCCATGGTGTGGTATTTAACAGCTGTTAGAATAAGCTTTCTTCTTTTTCCTACCTGTATACTCAGGTGGACATAAGCAAGTATAGTTGTTAATTCCATCAACACAAGTGGAATTATTTTCACAATCATTATCTTCACAATCATCAATATTAACTTCACAGTTGTCTCCTTCAAATCCATCTGCACATGCACACCTGTAATTAGGAAAATTAGATTAGGAAAATACGTTGTTTTCAAACTATTATTCAAACATTACATGGAGATGCTTAAACATGTATGGACCATGTTCAAGATTTATTTCAACTGGAATTTGCGTCTCTCCATTTCAGCAGGAACACAGGATTTAGACCTGTAGGAAAATTTAGTCTCCAGCCACTCTTCCACCAAGCATTCCACAATTTTGTTGTTTCCTATCCTGCTTTTGATCAGACCCCTGTTCTTTTTTTGTGCCTTTGGCATACTTCTCACTGATGTGATTAAAAACCAAGTCTAGACTTTACCACTACCGACAAAGGTTTACAACCCATCCCCTGACAAAAATGTGCTAGGTAATAAACCTCATATTCTTCTGTATGACTTACACAATGACAAATACAATCTTAAGACAGTATAAGACTAAATCATGAAAAAGAGTTACACTGAAAATAGTAAAGTATGTTTTAAAATGGTGATGAATTCATTAGATTATGTTCTGGACAAATCAAACAGTATTCATACAATGCTGGACAGAAATCAGAGTTTGTATCAGAAAAGCCTCCCCACCCCAGAGGCCATTCCAATCCAACACAACTGAGACTGGGGCCAACCCCTCATGAAAAGAGGAATTGTTATGCCCCGGGGACCCAACCTCTCACTGTGTGTTACCAGCCTAACCTCAGAAGAAGATAAGCATTCAGGCAGGTTCATATGTGAAGAGGTGGTCATTTAGACATTTAGATCAAGGCTATCAATGGCTACTAGCTTTGCGGGCCATGTGCTACCTACATTATCAGGAGTGACATGCCTTCATACACCAGCTATTGAGAAGTAGAATCAGGCTGAACTCTTACACATGTCTGCTTGAGGGATTCTGTGGGCAGTGAGTGCTGGACTGGATGGACCATTGGTCTGATCCAGCATGACTCTCAGAATCTTATGGCTTAAAAATATGTACCAGATCATACACAGACTGTCCATATAGTATTTTGAGAACCAGCAAGATGTGTTCCCTTTGTGAGAGTTCAACCCCAAGAAGACCAGAAGCATCTCACCTCCCCACTCCGACAAACTACACACTAACAGTGCTTTCCTCTTGCCAAGACTGAATTCTTAGATTCAGTCCTTTATTGACTCCAGTTATGGCCCTACCTGAATCTAATGAAAAGGAGAACTATATCTGAATATTATATAAATGTGGATAGAACCTCAAAATCTCAATATGATCTTATTCACTGGTATCATGAATATATTAAATAGTGTGCAGGATAGAATGTGCCTTGTAGTGTAAGTGTCTGGAGTTGCACAACCAACCACATGCTGAAACACCTTGCCCGAGGAGGGAGTATTTTCAATCCTCACAATCCTCAGGGTCCCAGAAATATCTTTTAAAGAAAGAAAATAAAAGCCGTTTCAAGATGGCTGGGGGTATTCTCTTCTCCAAGGAAGAACTGATTACCACCAGGATCCAGCTGATCATCCTTACTTTACTAGATCAGGTGTGGGAACCTCAAGCCCAAAAATCAGATATACTTCCTGCTAAACTTCCCTGTATCCCCCAAGCATTTTCAGGGAGGCTGGTCAATGCTACTATAGGAAGGTGCTCAGCGCCACAAAGTAGACTAGATAATGCGTTCTTAAGAGTTTGGTTAGATGCACTAAAGTTCTTCTGCCACTTGTGTTCCAAAAGTCTCTGCAAATGTTATTCCGCCCTGGTTTCCTAATAAACCAAAGAACTAAATGAACTGTATTTAGCTTATTATGTCAACTGCTCAACTTCACTCTCCTAGAGAGTGGCCACATCATTGACAGGAATGCCATCCATTTCTAAAGAAAAATAAATTTTTATTTAAGTGTCATTTTAATTGTTAACAGTATTTATTTTATCTGGCCAGGGTGACTTCTTTTATATTGTTATTTATTTTATATTGTTATTTTTATATTGTTACTTTTGTAATTTTCTTCATATTGTGAGCCGCCCCGAGGCTTCGGCGAATGGGGCAGCATATAAATGTCTTAATAAATAAATAAATAAATAAAATTGGGAGTGTTGGGTTGGTGAGGATTTCTTATGGGATGTGAAACCAAACACAGGAGAGAGGAGCTCCCTTCCCAAAGTCAAACCCTGTTGTGAGCAGCTTTGCAGAAGCTCCCAAACAAACAGATGGTAGGAGGCATGTTTGTTTGATGGGTGATACATTACACATCTGAATATGCTCTTCAAAGGTGGCAGCCTGTTAAGCAGTGTATATGTATAGATAATGTGCACATGTATATCGGAGCAAGTGAATGCTTGAAACCTCAGTACTTAAAGAATGCAGCCTATCTGGGCAGGAGTTGTATTATTTATTTTTTATTCATTCTTGAGTCTGTACAGGGTGCTAGTGACTATGCATTTATGGTGAACAATATAATATGTTGATACATAGGACACACTTAGTAACTTGTCCTCATATAGCCAACTAACGCTAACATGTTTTAGTCATTTGACGTTGTGATTAAGCATTAATTTACCATGATATTAAAATGTATCAGATTAGTGCCAAAAAGAAAACAATCCAACCTTTGGCCAAAATTAAGATGTGAAACAGTAAGACTAATTTCTTAATGAATAGCAAGCAAGAGGAATGGATCAGCATTTTTATTTGAAATTATTGGATCCATTTATTAAAGAACTCTATTTCATAATTCATAAGGTACATCTGGGGTACTTGTACTGTGTGATTAAATAACTCTAGATTAAAAATGCTTACAGTATGATTATCCACTGGCATGCTGGTTTGGCAATGAATCATTAATTTTCTGTTTCACTGGGATTTACATCTGATCATTTACAGGCTGTCTGTTGATATAATGCATAGAACAACAGCTGAATTGTAAAACTTTTCAGCAGGGATCTAGCTAGCTATTAATTAACATAATAGAGTCAACACCACATTGTCTCACCCTGTTATGCCTTGACTAATAACTTATTTAAAAAAAAACGTCCAGAGCACACCGAGCTCACTGATGTTACTTCATTTCCTGAATGCTGCAGAAGGCTTAGATGAACCACCACTGTGTTTATCAGTACACATCACCTCTTGTTATTATTGTGTGGGATTAATAGCATACAGAAACTTTAGTGAGGCGGGTTTTGCTAGTTCAACAAGACTTTCAAACTCAACAAAGCTTCCCTCCTGTGTTTCAAGATTTAAAGAAAAACATACCAAAATCCGTCCTTTTCACCTTCTTTTAAGTGACAAGTCCCCCCTTGTTTACAAGGGTTGCTAATGCAGGCATGAATTGGAACATCACAGTCTTGACCCTAGGAAAAAAAAACAGCAATGTTCTGAGATTGTACAGAAGGTAACCTGGATTTTCTTTTTAAAAAGCAAAGCAACATAAATATAAGCATTTCTCCCTTCTCTTGGTATTGTTGTCCCTCTTTCTATGGGGGCAGCTTTATGGGGTATATGTGGAAATCTTCATTGGAACTGCCAGCCACAGAATGGAAGGGCTCATCCTGAAAGACAACTTACAGAAAGTGCAAAATAAATAAAATTATGCCATATGTTCACCATACCTTGAATCCATAAGGACAGGAACATCTATAAAAATCTACAGGGTCATTATTACACGTCCCATCATTTTTGCATGGATTTGATAAGCAAGGACTGCACTTGGCAAGAATGTTGACATCCACTGGACCTTCAAAGAAACACAAATTTGTAGCCACAAACAGAAGCTTGTTGTTATTTTCATCAAACATCTTTTCAGTTAGGCTGAGTTAACAAACCCTAGCGAGATCTAAGATTCTGAAACTATCTTTGCACAACCAAATCAACACTTATTCAATATGCCAGTACTACTCTAGTGGTTGTAATCAAAAGAAACCAGGCTGTAAGGCCTAGTCACACATGTGGGCTAACCAACAAGCACAGCTGTTGTACGCATAAAACAATGATTTCAGACTGGACTGTAGAAAAGTGTGATATGTGAAATCCCTAATTAAAATATCTCGTTACCCACAAATACAGTAGAAAGCCTTAAACAAATTACTGTTAGATTAGATGCAACTCCCCATCTACAATGTGGAAAAAAATAACAGTGTCATACTCTGAAGGGCTTTTGTTATTCACTTTGTGTGTGTGTGTGTGGGGGGGGCATCCTAAAGAAGGATGACGACCTTAAATTACCCTTACAAAAAAGTAGAGGCACACATCCCGTTGTTTTTAAAACATCATGAAACCTGTCAAATTTTTGAGGCTGGTGTTTGAAGGACTTACATCCAACCCTTTCTATACATGGGACTTCTTTGGGTCTCATCCAAAATATTTATAGGTTCAGGGAGTTTTATTACGGTATCACAAATGGACTTTTGCAATAAGTGAAGACTATGAAAAGCGAAATGGTACTGTTTCTGCAGGTCATATTGCACACAATTTATATTACTGCTGCAAATATTCCTGCCTTCCAATCAAACTAGGGAAAAGTAAAGCTACCTAATGTATATGTGCTTGACATGAGCCTTTGATAACAATGCACAAAATGGGAGATCTTCCTCCTGATTTATTTCATTATCAATATAGTAATCAAAATACTGAGTTTACTGTACACTCAGTTTGCATATAATTTGTAGGTTAATTAACCTTCCAATATGTAGCAGGAGTAAGCTGCCACTGTTGTGTTAATATTTTCTTTAACAAACAAAAATTGCCCACGAGTTAACTCTGGGTTGCTTGACTCTTAAACAACACAGGGTTCCTGTTCAGATGTCATACTAACAATCTGCAAATGTGGTGATGATATGTTATTAAATGAAGGCAAGAGTGACAAGTGCACCTGCTCACTCGTGCTAGATATTGGCAATTCATGGATTAAGTAATCCACAATTGCCACTGCATGTGAACTGCTCTGTAATTTTCATCCATGCTTGGAAACAACTCCATCTCAGTAAGATGCTATCCTCCTTTCTGGTTGCAATGTTTTCATACCTTCATTTTCACATAAGATGTTTCAAGCAGAGCTTAAATTAAATGCAAAGAATCTTGATATTTTCTCATGAATATATGTGCAAGGCAATTTCTCTTCATGAGCGAAAAATGTGGTGAATATGAGTACTCAACAGTATCCAAAATGTTTAACTTTGCAAAAAAATTTTTTTTTTTTTTTTTAGTTTACATGGAGAAGCTTATGTTTTACTGAAGGACTTTACCCTTGCTCTTAAAGTAATTGGGTAAGCAGTATAAAGCAATAAATTGGATTTGCAATAAAGAAATGCCTTCATTGTTCTCCCATTTTAAAACAATTTAACAGATGTTAATGGCTTGATCCCTACCACGCCCTAGCTCATCTATTTGGAAACTAATTTGAATAGCTGTCATCCTATCTTTTTCTTTATATACACGGGATTGTTGTTCTGCCAATGACTCTATCAGTTGTGAAATGAGACTTCTTTTCCCTCTCCTCTGCAGCCCCCTCCACCTGTGTATCCTATAATTCCACTTCAGCAGCATGGAGGATATGCTGGTGAAGGCCTGTTTTGCAAGCAGTATCTGTTCTGCTAGCGGAACAATGATCTTGGATCCAAACCCTCAAGATAAAGAGATCTTAAAAGAGATCTGTAAGAATTCCAGCTGTCAAAGATCTTCCACATTTAACTCAGATTATTTTCTCCTCTCTGCATTACCAATCATAATATGGTTTGAAGAGCTGACTGGGGCTTTGTAGTTCAGCATCTGTTAGAAGCCAGGTTAACAACGAAAAAAGTAATATTTAGTTTAGATTTAAAAAAAAAATGAATTCAGGCTGTTCAAAAAGAAGCACAAGATTAGCCCTACCATACAGCAGGGCACAGTGCCCTGTTCAGGCAACACCATAAGGGAGGGGTAGGTGAAGAAAAGAATTGGTATCTGGATAGTGCAGGAAGTCTTTTTAAAGAGCTGGCCCTACTTGGGTTGTGATTCAGGCAGCAATGGGCACTGAAGGGATGACAGGTAACATTACAGTTAATAATCTGACCTGGCATGCATGGTTACCCCTAAAAGTAGTTTACCAAGGTAATTCTTTAAGAAGGAAGTGCTTCTACTGTAGGTTCTGCCTGTATGGTGTGTCCAGGGACAGAAAAAATCCAGTACATCATAGCAGGGCCTTATAATGCACTTTGGGTGTTCTTAAGGTATAGGTGAGGTCATCAACTATATCCTTATGGAAATTCCTGTCAGTCTCAGTCTTTAAGCACAATGAAAGGTCAGTAGAGTTGTGTGTTGATATAAGGTGAAAAGAAGAAGAGAAATAGGCTGCACTCCTATAGCCACTTATCTGGAAGCAAGCCCTACTGGACTCCATAAAGAGCCCTGCTTAGGACAACACTTGCCATCTGTCAGGGAGGCACACCAGGTAGCTTCCTGTGCTTTAAGTGTATCTTTACAAGCTGTGTTTGTACCCGCAAACTAGAGTGGATTGATACAATTAGGATAAGAACTGTAAGAAAATGAAGCACTGTCTCCCATTAAGATTATTACAGAGCGCTGCTCACAGCAAGCAAATGTATACATCTGAAGGAAGTAAACTGACACTTATCTGTGAACAAATTCAAAGTGGAAGTATTACTGGCTGTAGTGCTAAATTTGATAAACATTGTGTAGATGGGAACTGTAGAAGTAACCTTTCCAATACCTTTTGTTATGAGATCTGACTTTGAAATATATTTGTGTAATCAATGCAAAATGCTGTTGATTTTTCCCTTTTCGGCTCTAGCCAATGAGGTTTAGTTCAAATGGTGAGTAAGCTAAGGACAATTATATTTTATTTTGTATAGGGGCTGCTATGAAAGGCTGTGCCCAGGAAAATTACTCCCCATTTCCTGTCCCCACAGAGCATGCTTGGGCAAGAGGGTCCCATGCAAGGAAGTGAGCTTTTATCCCCAGCCAGTATTTTCTGTGGTGGATCCTTTAATTTAGCCCCTTAGTTTAAACTATCTTCTTGGAAAATGTGTCCTTTAGGAGACAAGAATTAGCCCACCTCCACAATTTTCCAGAGGTCAGCTTTGAGGAATAAACTGGGAAGGCTCCAGATTAGATTGTAATCTGATCTGGTGAACATCTGAGGCGCTCACCATTTCTTTTAGCCCCAAAACTGAGTGAACTTTTTCAGCACGTCCACCATTGAGCATCCTCATTAAATACTCCAAAGTACCTTCCATAATTTAATTGCAAGTACTTATTTTTCTTGCAAAGGCATTTAGTAACAACCATTTCTCCTCTTCTGCAGGGTTCCTTTGCATGAACTTGGATACTTACAGCACATGCCTGCTTTGCAGAAGTGTAACACTTCATACTGTATTAAACTACCAGGAGAGCTTCACCTACTGGCCAGTATAGAAATTTCATTAATTCATTTTTATCAAATTTGAATCAGTGATTTATTAGACAGCTAAGCTCAGCTTGATTATGCATATAATTTTAACATTTTTACAGTGATTGTGTATACAAGTGTAGAGAGCTCCTTCCTTCAGTCTGCCACGTGCTCTTCCAGGATACTCCATTCCATTCCATTACCACCTCCACCCTGCTGTTTGTGTTCCTTCCACATGTACATCAGGATATCATGCCTGCTTCTTCATTTGCCTGTATTTTTGGGGCTGTAAAGCTTGGCCTGCTGAGACCAGTAAGCACATTGTTAAAGTTTATAATGCTTTGTTATGTTTTTATTTTCTCATGATTTTTATCTCTCCAGTTCTGTTCCCAACTTCTTCTAGTATACTTTGCTGTCAGTATAAATGCTTTGAATTTCTTTAAAAAAGCTTCTCTATCTGGTCTTCCAATGCATCTCTTTCACATAAGTTTATATGGCTGGCTAAAACATCAGACAAAAAGCCAAACCTTATTATGCTTATTTAGTTATAATATAGCCAGGTTAGAGTCAGTGCAGCATAGGGCCACAAGGTTGGTGGCCTGTTTGCAGGGGATGGGGTATGAGGTGAGACTGAGGAAACTGGGTCTCTTCAGCCTGGAGAAGAGGAGACTCAGAGGGGATATGTTGGCGACATACAGGTATGTGAGGGGACATCACATGGAGATGGGTAGAGACCTGTTCTCTCCTGCAGAGGAAGGCAGGACGCGCTCCAATGGAGCCAAGCTCAAGGAACCAAGGTTCCATTTAGATGCCAGGAAGCACTGCCTGACAGTTAGGACCCCAAGGGTGTGGAATGGGCTTCCACGAGAGGTTGTTGAAGCCCCATCGGTGAGAGTATTCAAAGATAGGCTGAACATGCACATGGTGGGCATGTTGTGAGTGGAGCTGGTTGGTGCCAGAGGTCAGACTAGAAGGCCCGGGAGGCCCCTTCTGACTCGCTCTGTTATGATTCTAGTTATGTGTACAGTGGTACCTCGGCTCACGAACACCTTTGTTCATGAACAAATTGGGTCATGAACAAAAATTTTGACTTGGGTCGTGAACACCACTTTGGGTGGCAACCAAGATCGTAGCCATCTCCCTCCTACCCCCGAGGAAAGGCGGGAGCAGCAAAGCAGAGCCGCAGGGAGATGGCCGCGATCATGCTGGGGGCGAGGGTGGAGAGATGGTCGAGATCGCGCCCATCTCTCCCTCCCTCAGCATGCCATTTGCGCCTGTCTCTTCCTCCCCCAGTGCGCCCGCGATCATGCCCGTCTCCCCCCCCCACCCCCCCAGCGTGCTGGGATGATGGG